AGACTGTCATAAGCCTGAAGGTTACATTATTATCTCATAGCTCTAATTAATCCCTTCTGTGCTGGGCTCCAGGGGAAAGGAAGGTTCTAGCACCTGATTCTCAGCATTTTTAGTTTTTCTCTAGGGAATACTGGTGTGACTTTGCGGAGGTGTCTTTCTCATACATATCCTACTGCCCGTTTCATTTGTAAAGTTAAATTCGATTTAAAGGAAGGCATGTTTTGCTAGGTTGGGATTTCACCATGGTGGGGTAGGGGGTCCTTGCAGCACAGAGGTGAGAGAGCAATCATGGGTGAGGTCGTCTTTCTCCAAGTGCGGTCCTCTGGTCCTCACAGATTTCAGGACCAACTCAGCATCTACCAGGTCACACTTGCTGGAGCTAGGGACAAGGAATTCGAATTCAGTAGGCTTCCCAGGGACTGTCAGTCTCCAACTTTACTCATGGAGTGGGACGAGCACTACCTTGGGGCACTGGTTAAGGTCAAACATGACTAGGACTTGACCTTGAATCATAACCCTTTTCTGGGCCTCCATTTCTTCATCTATAAAATAAAGCTTAAAACCATCTCCTCCTAAAATCTGTGATACACCACTGAAACTTCAGTATCTTTTATTGACTCAAATGATTATTCTGTAAGAACTTTGATGTGCTGACAGTCTGTGAAGGAGGTAAAAGTACAGAACATGATCCTCACCTTAGGTTGTACAGAATCCGGTTGAGAAGGCAACTCATGTAACATACTGAAGCTATCAAGATAGTATGTAAGTAATAAGTTATGTGATTCAGTTTTAAGCCAAATAGGACCTCTGAGGAAATAAAACTTTGATGTTGGAATAGTCCTGGGAGGCTACCTGGAGGAGATGGGTTTTGCATTGTTTTATTCATTTATTTATTTAGAGATTTTTTGCTATAGGGTGTGTGCACTCACTAGAGAGACAGAAAACAAGAAATCACCCCTCTGGACAGAGTGGGGGTGAGTGGCAGGCAGGAATGGCCATGCCACAATCCCTGGCTTCTATTTTCCTCTCAGGATTTTGGGCATGCATGCACATATGACCAGTGTTAGTCTTAAGCTGCCAGGTCCAGGACTTGAACTGAGGTCAACTACGTGGGAGTCTAGCGATGTAACCATTATGCCAACTGCTGGTCCTGTTTGCATTATTTATTGAGCAACATGTGGGAAAATATAGGCAGTAATGGAAGACTAGGAGCAAACAGTGATGTAGCAATATAGCATGAATAAAGCAGAGATATGAGAATATGTTTGGCATATCTGAAGTGTCATGGGAAATTTAGATTGCTTAAAGCAGAGATCAGGTTTTTGAAAACTAGAAAAATAGTTGCAGTAGTATGTGTGGACCAGACTATGGAGAAGCTTAAATATGAATATAAGAACTCTGGATTTCATCCATAGGTAGAAGAAGCTAGTAAAATTTTCTGATCCTGGGACCAGCAGATGGCATGATGGTTATGTTGCTAGACTGCCATGTAGTCGACCATGGTTCAAATCCTGGACCTGGTAGCTTAAAATCACTTCGGGTGCATGTGTCTGTGTGCCCAAGGTCCCGAGAGGAGAATGGAGGAGAAAGGATTGTGGTGTGGCCATCCCCCCTGAGAGGGTTGATTTCTGACTTTCTGTCTTTGTTTTTCTCTTTCTGGCAAGTATATGCACCCTATAGCAAAAACCTCTCCAAAAAAAAAGTTTTCTGTGAATGAGTTAAGTAAAACTGGAATCATGTGCCATGAAGGCAGAAATAATATTCATAGAGGTATGGAAAGATGTGTTACTTTGGATCCTCCAGGAAGCAGACAGTAGGACAAAATTAGATGTCCAAGAAATTTATTAGGAAAAATGCCTGAGAGAGATAATGGAAAAGGAACTAGAAGAAATTGGGACAGTTGCTAGACTGAGATTCCGATATGCCTCGGAGTAAGAGACAGGGAAGGGAAGAAGGTTGACTGGGAGCATCACAGAGTGTAGTAAATTTCTATGGAAAGTTCAGTAATGCTGTGAGGGAATCCTAAAGTCAGTGTCAAGTATCATTGGAGTCTCATGTTGTTCTGAAATGGGTCTGCCTTCACATCCCGGTTACACTTAGTCTCTGGCAGGAGGCAGCTCTTGGGGAGGTATGGAGTTGGCCAGAAAATAGCAATGGATTTCAGAGCATGGCAGCTGAAGTCCTTAGTCAGTTACATTCCTTGCAGTTGGAGATCTGAAATACACATGTTCATGGCAGCTCCTGAAGGAAAAAGAGAAGCTAAGAAGAGTGTAATGTTCTCGACAGCTTATTTCTGAAATGTTTGAGTATGTTCATAGTGACTCCTTTATGCAGATGTGCTCTCCCATTGCCCTTTAACTAGGTGGTTTCTACTCTTCTCGCATGTTAATTTGAGTTTTACCTTTCGGAAGCCTTTTCTGACCTTCTTCACCCACTCTCTGGGTTTGGTGCCTCACCAGTTCTGTACTTCCCTCTGCAGCCTCCGTAGCAGCAGTGTAAAGGATTTGCTTGCTTGAACATTGCTGGGATTTCCCTCCTAGTAGACTGTGAGTGCCTGGAGGGTAGGATCTGGATCTTCCTCAATAGAGGAAGGAAGGTAGGAAGAATGGGAGGGAGGGAGGGGAGAGAGGGAGCAAGGGAGAAAGGGAAGGAAAGAAGAAGGGTGGTTCCAGTTTTGGATAAGGAGAAAGGTTTTCCAGATCCAGTTGTTCGAAGAATTTTCAGAGCCAGATGTTAGAAGCCTTGTTAGTTAGTAGAACTCCTGTACTTAACATCTCTTTTCTCTCTGCATACATTTTGCACTTTTTGGAGACTGTCTTATATCCCTGAAGAAATGGAGGTGGTCTAACTTGCTCCTACAGAGCCCTAGATGGTCATCTTGAGTCATTCCTCATAGAGCATAGATTTGAGCTTGTTTTTCCAGAATTTGAGATGATCTGTACATTGCCTCCCATGCTTTTTACATGTTGATTTTGAGAATGACTTTGTAGAGGATAAAAGATCCAATGCAGAGAGGAACTCTGGTGTGTGTGTGTGTGTGTGTGTGTGTGTGTGTGTACATATTAATTCAACAAATAAATTATCTTGGCTATTGTTAGACTTTTGGTTGGGGAGAATATGAATATGTCTCTTATTTTCTTTAGTCCCTGGCTTTAATAAATGAGGAGACTAGCCATTAATGAGAAAGGCAAAGACTAAATGACCCTGAAGAAAATTCTTGGCATAGGTTTTTTTTTGTTTTTTTTTTGGAGAGATTTTCACTGTAGGGCACGTGCGCTCGCCAGACAGAGAGAGACATAGAGACAGAAAGCGAGAAATCACCCCCCAGGGGGGATGGTCACGCCGCAATCCCCTCTCCTCCATTCTCCTCTCGGGATCTTGGGCACGCACGCACATGCGCCCGGCGTGAGTTTTAAGCCACCGGGTCCGGGACACGAACCGCGGTAGACTACGTGGGAGTCCAGCGACATAGCCATTACGCTAACTGCTGGTTCCCAGGCATAGGTTTTTCATTGTTTGTTGTTGTACTGGGGTAAAAAGACCAGTAACTTGGTGGATTCCACTCCTCTACACAGCCATGCTGTTGATATTTCTGCCCAACCTGCCATTTCCCGGCATAGGGCACCACATTGCAAGAAAGCGATAAGCCCTTTAGTATGGGCGTCAGAGAGCAGTTGAACATCCCAAGCCAACTCTGCCATGGACTATTTTGACCTATCATAGGTCACATCCCTTGCTTTTAATTTTTTTTCTTAGTTTAGATAGAATAAATGGAAATGGGGCTGATTGACCCCATGGAGTGCTAGATGAGAATAAATTTCAAAGCGAACATTTTGTTGTTAGTTAAGTGCCATAAAAATGTTCAATATAATGGCTGATTATTTTTCTTTAATCTTAAATGGATACCTAGAATGGGAGAGTTCCATCTTGGTAGCAGAAATTCATTATCTCTGAAAAAGTTTAATGGCTGCTGTGAAAATGAACTGGAGGAAGTTAAATTGTGGAATGGGAAGGAGTTGAGAAAAGTGAAATGAGTTGTGCATTAAATTTAGATAAACACAATTATATGTAACTGGATTATCATGCGTACAGGCAGGCAAAGTCTATTACACACCTGCGTTTTGATTAAAATTGATTCAGGTGCATGTGCTTAGCATCTTTGTGAATATGCAGTTGTGTAAGCCACTGTCCAGGCACGGGAGGGGCAGACAGAGGGATACTTGGTATCTGGGCCCCCACGTGGGGAAGTATAAGAGAATGGGAACAAATAGACAAGTTCAAGACTAGTTCAGAAAACAGCTGAGTAACAGAAAGCTCCTGTTCTCTGACACACGCAGCTTCCTCAGAGTTTCTTCACTTCACCTCAGAGTTAGGAGAGTGTCCTGGAGTCCAGTGGAGTTCAGTGACCTGCTTACTCATGCTGGGGCCCGTGCCACATGGCCAATGGCATGTAGCGTCATAAAACGTTGAGAATGAACCTGCCTGCCATTCAAGTATTTATGCTTGCTGAGGTCCAACTGATAGAAACACAAAGTCTCTTTGAATCCCATTTGTAAACAGAAAGGATCAGGCCGCATTCCTTCTTTCTCTTTTAGGTCCAATTCTATAAATCAGAGTCATCTTTAGATCAAAAGCAAGCCCATCGTCTGATGTCTGGGTGGCCTGGGTGGTGAACAAAGCCAGCTGGCCTGCGCCTGATCTTTAAGAAGGACAGATGTGGAGAAACAACTGTCGATACCCAATTAATTCCTGTTGGCATGTTTTATTTCAAATGCAAAGCACTGTCAGGATTAAAATAATGCTGCCAGTTACAGGGATGCATTAAATTAATATTTTTTCCCTCTTGCTTGATCCTATAATACCCCTCAACTCAGTGGATAAATACTAAGCCCTCCTCAGGGTGATATGAGATGCATTGTATATTATTACACAAACTAAAGTAAGCTTTCTTTTCTCCCCCTTTGTTCCTCTCCTCTGTCCTCATCCTCAACTCCTTGCAGGTCATACTTATCCTGACGAAGCTGTATGACTTCAACTTGGGGAGCGTGACTGAGAGTTCGCTTTGGAGGTAAGTGGATTAGAGATTCTTTTCTTTAAATATTTATTGATTTCATGTATAATAGAGAGCGTGTATGCATGTGAGAGAGAAAAGCGCCCCTTGACAGAGTTCTATCATGAGTGATCCCCCTTCCTCAGCCATCTCACTCCTCAGGATCCTAGGCACGTGCGCATGTGCTTGGTGTGTTTCCAGGTCAACTCATTAGTTAATCTAAACCCATGGCTAGCTAAACAGCTTCAGCAGTGCAGTTCGATTTGCTACTGACTGTATTATTAAGAGTCTGGGTCAGAGATTCTCAGGGGCTATTCTGACTCAGCTCATATGAGAAATTCAAACTAAGCCATTGGGAAGCATGTTTTCATAGAAGCATAAGATGGTCTCCTCCTGCAAGGCCACTTTAATGTTCCAGGTGGAACTGATAAACCACCCCTGGGAATTCCCTGAGCACACTACTGATCTGTTTTGGGAGCTGTCACAAATCCACCTGGCGTCCTTGTTGCTTCTGCATTGCTGCAGTGTCATATTCTACTTGATTGAGGGTCTGCTTGGAGAGATCAGATGAGCATGCCTTAAGCAAGAAGAGCTCCTGAATCAGGGAGCCTGCAGTAGCAAGGATTCTTGCCTTGGGTGTGAATCTTGGCTCCAGGACTGTCTCCAGGCCTCTGCATCTGGAAGGTCACCACTCTGTAAGAAGGTATGATTCTTGAGAAGGCAATGCCTATCGGAACAGGTACAGATACCTGCAATGACTTTTATGGCCTCTAGGTATTTTGGTTTTCATGAGACCCTAACCACATAAAATAACATAGAAAGTTTTATTTTACCACTGCATTGGTTGGAAAACACACACACACACACATACACACATGTAAAATCATGTATTTAAAAAAATCCTTTTAAAAATTATTATTAATTTAATTTAATTTATTATCATTTAATTTGATATAGGGCACATGTGCTCACCAGAACAATGCTGAGAGAGAGAGTGAGAAAGCAAGTCACCAAGTCTAGGACTCGAACCATGATCAGCCATGTAGGAGTCCAGTGGCTTAACTACCACACCAACCTACTGGCCCCTTAAAAAACTTGTTGTAGTGTAGAAGTCCTTCCCTTGATTTTAAAAGAAATTAAAGTACTTTGGGGACCTCTAAAATAGTGAGCCCTAGACAATCGTGCTTCCTGTACCTAGTAGAGAAGTCTGCCTGATGGTCATTGCTGGGGCGTATGGGACAAGGGAGAAGGATAGCTCAAGTCAGAGTTGACTCTGATGAAGCCATGAAACCAGGATTTTCTTTGGATAGAGAACACCCGTGTAGAAACTCTCACATTCATTTGCACAGTCACACTGACATGCAGGCATGCTGGGAAGTAGCAAGTATCATCAGCTACTGTGACTTTGTGCTTCATGCTCTGTGCTTATGTCCATGAGACCTGAGGGGCTGCACATCTTGCCCCGTTTGCTTTTCTGTGTGTTAGCACTGGTGAGGATGCTGCCACAGAAGGCCATTCATCTGGCCACGTCATCACTTCAGACCCTTGTCCTGAGGGCTTCCTGACAGTTTGTTTGCAGAGAACTAGTCAGAGCCTCTCCCCCTATGAAAGGGGGAGCAGTCACAGCATCTACTCACTATTTAGGGGTTAATTGCTCATATTGACTGAGGCTTGCCTCCATTTACACAGGATGTCTTCAACCTAATTTTGCTGCTCAGTGAAAATTGGCAGAAGTATAAGTAACTAGGATGCCTCTAACAAAGGAAAGCATGTCTGTTTCCACTCACATGATTCTTCCCAGGGAAGTAGAACCTCAGAAACCTTTCCTCAAGCTCGAGCATGATGCTGCTGTATGATACTTGAAGCTTCATTCCTGTGCTGTCTGCTTGATTAAGTCATAAGACAAGTCAGGAAATGTCCTTGTAAAAGGAAACAACTATTCCTGACATCCCAGAGTAGGTTTGGCCAGTTCTTGGAATGGATGATGCATCCCCAGGAAGCCGAGGCCAGTTGCTTAATGTTAGAGGCCCTTAAGTCATGAAGGGCATGCACCATGATTCCAAGAGCTACTGTACTAGCATGTACCAAGAGACAGTGCAGCCTGCTGTCTCCAAGGGCACCGTGATGTCCAGTAGCCAAGATTCAAGTGACTATTTGCTCACCCAACGAGCACTGTCACTTTGGGCACTTTATTAATTCACCTCTTCTGTATTTGTTTCCTAGGACTGCCATAACAAGTAACTATAGACTGGGCAGCTTCACATAGCAAAAATGTGTTTTCTCTTTGATCTGGAGACCAGCAGGCTGAAGTCAAGGGTTATCAAGGACCACACTCCTTCTGGAGGATATCAAGGGGAACATACCTTGCCTCTACAGCTTCTGCTGGCTGTCCCCATCCTTGTGGCTATGCCATGCCAATCTCTGCCTTCACCTCCACATGGTCCTTTCCTCTGTGACTATTTTTTCTCCTTGTCAGTCCCTTTTAATAGCACTTGCCGTTAGATTTCAGGGCCACCTGGATAATCCAGGATGGCCTCATCTTGAGATCCTTAATGTAATTGCATTTGCAACCTTCTCGCCCTCTACTCACCTTTGTTCCCAAATAAGGCCCCCTTATGGATTCTAGGGATTAGGATGTAGACATATCTTCTAGGTGGTCCATCATCCAACCCATTTACTCTCTAGGTCTCAGGTCCCCTAAATATTAATTGAGGGGTTTACAGGACATACCTTTGTTCCAGCCACATTTTCCTTGTGATTTATCAAACACACCAACCACATTATCCCCTATAGCCTCTATAGTTAGCCCTTCACTCTGCCTAGAGCTCCCAGGGGTCAGGACAAACACTCTACTTCCTCTCTGCTCACAGGTCGGGTAATCTGTGGCCTTTGCTCAGGATTTCGTATTTCATCACTCAGATGTTTTACTTCTTAGTATTTACCACCATCTGACATGTTAATTACTTATTATTGATTTATTTATTATCTATCTACACCCACTAATATCTAAGCTTGTAGAGAAAAGGAAACTTTTTACATTATAATTCAGTGTTGGCTCCTCAGCACCTACAAGAGTGTCTGTCACACACACAGGTGCTTAATAAGTGTTTGCTCAATGAATAACTTAATGAATGGTTTCTCGTAAGGATCAAATGAAACAATAAATGTAAAAACACTTAGGAGAGTAACTCATATGTAGGAAGTCCTTAAATGTAATTATTAATGATTATTATAACCTCGTGTGTTTGTATAGAGTTTTCATTCCATTATTGATTTTGTTTTTAAAGACCATTGCTGAAGAGGTTTGTCTGAAGGAAATAGACACCAAGGGGACGTAGTCTGTGTTCTGTAGGAATTAGCAAAGACCTTTAGGGATAATAGCACTGGGGAAATGGGGGGAGATAAAGAGGGAAAAGGTGATTTAGAATGTTGTCCCTTGTGCCAGTTGTGGGGAGTTGGACTATCAATTTCTACATAGTTGATGTTCACTTGTAGAAAATATTTTCTGAACTGAGTGTTGAAGGATGGGAGGGATGCTGTCTGGCAAGTGGAAAAAATGTCCCTAGCACCAGGAAACAAGGCTGATCTGTAGGGATGAAAAGAACAAACCAGGAGGTAGAGAGAACAACTGAGGGGTGGACCAGGGCAGGGATGGGGGCTCACGGGGTTCACAGAAGAGGCCCAACCAAGAGGTTACTCAGCTCATAGTTTACAGATAACAGATTTCAGGTCCACCTGGATAATCCAGGATGGCCTCATCTTGAGATCCTTAATGTAATTACATTTGCAACCGTCTTGCCCTCTACTCACCTTTGTTCCCAAATAAGGTCCCCTTATGGATTCTAGGGATTAGGATGTAGACATATGTAGACAGGTCAATATGAGGTGACCTTTTGGGGATCTGAAAAGCCGATGGATATTATGGGCTTTCCCTCATATGGGAATGTATTTTTGTGTTAGGTTTTAGGACCTTTATAGATCTGACAAGTCCAACTTGGGAATCCTCGGAGAGAGGGTGATTGATTGAGGAAAGGGACTGCTCCTGCTCCTAAACTTTAGGGGGACTTCCCAACTTGCTGGAGCTTTATAGGAAGACTTCTAACTTTTTACTATCTTCTTGACTCATTCCTCAAAGATCAATATCTCCCCCATCATCTTTTTTGGGCTGATAATGATGATGTATTTTACAGTGAAAGCCTAGAGCAATATGAGTTCCTTCCTAATACAGTGTGCAGAAAAAAGAAACTAAATTAAACATGCACCCTTTCGGCTTTGTGATTGGGCCCAACGTGCTTAACCAAGGTGAAATTGAATTCGGTGATTATTCTTTAATTTTCTGTACAACAGAGAAGCCTGGAGCAGCAGCTGTCACGACAAGATGATGCCCCCTGCCAATCTACAGTGTGATATAATTATTTGCCTCACTGGATTAATAATTGAGAGGCCATCTACCTCTAAATAGACAAAAAAAAGTTTAAAAGCATTAAATCGTGTAGCATCTTTCATGCCCTTGTGACATTCATTCTCCTTGGTGTGTTATATTGGTGGTGCCCAACATTGTTTTTCACCAACACACAGGTGGCTGTGGAAATCAGTCATTTAGCACAACGTATGTTGCCATCCTTTTTGTTAAGAAAACAAAAACAAAAACAAGCAAAAACAACAAAAAAACACTTTGCATATAGAATTTTAAGTTTAGAGAATTAATGAGGTTGGGGACTGATTTTCTAGATGACCTAGGCTGTTTGTTACCTAGATCATAAAGCTGAGATTTATGTGGCAGAGGATCTGCAGGTGTGAGGTCTCCACAGATGTGACGTTCCCCACAGTTTTCCTTTGACTCCTGGATTAGGGGTCCTAGCCATATGAAGAACCAGGAATCCCTTGTAGTGAATGGTTCCCCCTCAGTAGTAGACCTTGGTTTTGTACCTCAGTCCTCTCTTACTTTTTTTCACCTACCCCCTACCCCAACAGTTTGTTAGATAGTCTGCTCTTCCAATACCAATGAGACTACATAG